TGCTGAAATTCTTCACAGTCTGTGTGGATTCTGCTAACTCACATCACCTAGCATCATACTCAAGAGCTCAATGCTGACTCTTCCATGTATTCAATAAACATACTGGACAGCATATAATATTAAACCCTTAAGTGCATTAGCTAAGATAAAAGCTGGCAGTTTACTTCTCTCTGCTTTCTGTCCAATAGGTAGATTTTGATCCAGAGTAGTATTTATCTCTCACCTCCTAATTACTTCTTAACTGACTTTTAACCTATAGCCACACAGGCAATTGCACGGGCACCATGGGGAGACAGGTGAACTGTGTGTAAGGGGATGGAAGCAGCTAGGGGCAGTAGTTCTGAAATTCATTTTGCCACTCAGTAAACTGCAATGTCAATTTGTGCTTTTAGTTTTGTTTGTATGTTTTCAAGAGATTTGGAAAATTACTACTGCAAGTCTAAAAAAACCGATGTCATGGTTTCTCTTTTACTCTGCTGTGCTGACACATACTAAAAAAGCTGAGTGAAATGTAATCTTTCTTTACAGAAATAGTGTTAACTACACACTATTGTATCATGACATTAGAGTCCTGGCGTTTCATTCTATTTACTACTGTTGTTTCAACCAGTTTGTCTGACACAGTCATTTTTAATTTCCTTGATCACCCTAGAGCCTTTAAAAATATATAGCTACAAGACCAGTGGAGTTCTAAATCTCCAGTAAAATATCTGTTTTTAATGACAGGCTGCATATTGTTGCCAACAGCTGATCTAAGCCCACTGCATTTTCCGCACCACACTGGACTTAATGACTTATTTGGGGTTTTTTTGTTCATTTTACTTTTAAGCTTTTGATTCTACCCTTGCACACAGAAGCCTAACTTGAAACCTTGCACAATAACCTCACTTCTGTTTTCTTACTGAGACTGTCTGGGGTAGGGGAGTTAGAAGAATCAAGGCCAAACTGACACATATACTGCAGTCCACCTCTAGAAAGGCAATAACAGGTCAGTAATGAGGAGAGAATGCAGGACAGCTCAAGGGAGCTGCTTAGAAAATGAAAGGACAAGGAGACGTTTCCTGCCAGTTTAAAAAGGATTAAGGTGCTGACTTTGGACAGTCCTTACCTGCTAAGAACAAACTAGAGTGCTTCCTGCCAGAAGTGAAAAACAGAGATACGCTTATAGATAAACCCAAAGGTGCCACAAAACCCAGCCAAGTATTTCCACAGGTTTCCTGCATTGAATAAAGTGGAAGACAGTAACATTGTTTGGTTCCACACCCTTAGTTATTTACTTTTCTAATTAATCTCTGTGATTCCAATTGCCTTTTTACTTATTTATTGCCCATTATTTTTAGCTTTCATTTTTTCTTCACTTAGAAAGAATAGCACTCAGTTGGCCTGATTTATGACTTTCCCTCATGGGTCCCATTTTCTTCAGTACTTTGCAAAACCTGGTGATAATATTTTTAAGTACTATCCATGACATACCTAAAGATTTTATTTCACTTATTTTTGACTCTCAGACCTATTCCACTAACTTGTTCTTAATATTGGAATCTTCTTTTCTGAAGTTTAGTGATTACTCAGCCACTTCTTGGCATCTTACCTCCTCTTCAGATTGAGAATGGAATTCTATTCTAGTTGCTAATATTTAGTGTCTGCCATACTGTGAAATGAAATTTCTATTTCTGTACCATGGGTTAGAAGACTGGGTAAAAAAATTCCACTCTCTTTGAAGAATTTCTAGTTCTCAGCAGTGATATACAGGTCTGGTATTAGTATTATAGAAATAATTTGTGCTTTTTGGAAAACAGTTCTGCTACTTCCTTGGGTGGAAAATTTCCCTTTCATTTCTCACTCAGAAGGC